TTACCGTCCTTCCATAAAACCCTGTAATTTAAGAACTTCTAGTTGCAGTTAACACCACTGCATCGAGCCCCTCTCCATGCCCCTATATGAAAGTTCCCATTTGATCTGGACTATAATGCCATGTTTCTAGTTCCTAGACCTTCTCAAGCATGAACTCCTTCTGTCAGGCTACTTGCTGTACTACAAGTTTTCCTGCCATGTACCTACCGTGAGGACAGTGCACTTCCCATAGAGCTCCCGGACAGAGACTCTCACTGTGAAAAGAAAAACTAAGTTTCTGTCTGAGATGAAAAAAAATAAAATGCCTACATTTTGGTTATTGAAGAATATTGCCATAATCTGATTTTCCTTGAAGCCATGTTGGTTCAAGAAGCACTTCATAAATTGTTCCTTAATCTGAATTTTTAGAAGGAATTATATTTAAGCCTTCCAACTTGGCTTAGCACTGTCTCTCCAGGCTGCCAGAATAATTTTCCTCACTGAAAAAAATAGCTAAGCCTCTGTTAAGCACTGCATCAGTAGGAGAATAATTCTGCAGTCCAAAATGAACACTGGGGGATTAAAGTTCCTGCGTTGAAACTCTACTTGTTTTCTCACAAAGTCTGCTCCAGAACTTTTATCATTAATAGTTCCTCCACACGCTATAATAAAGTTGCTTCTTCTTGCTCTCGTTGGGAGGACACTTCTCTAAAATAAAGCTAACAGGAACACATACAAGCAGAAGTCCTTTTTCATCAAAAGCTCCTAGAGCCCAGTACTTTACTTTATTCAAACTGCTCTCAGATGCAGCAGACAGACTTGCCTCAAACTCCCTAATCCACCGACAACCAGCCTCAGGAGAGGCCAAAACCAACATCACTGCCAGGAACTGTGTAGCACAACTCACACCAGTAGCTGTGCAGGAACTTGCAGAGGGGGCTGTGAATCTGCCAGAGTCCCGCACAAGAGAGAAAGTTCTCCTGGGGAGAACCTCAGGCCAGTTCAAGTTATTTTTGTTCTGTTCAAAGTGACAAAAAGTGTGTTTGTTGAACCCCACGCAGCTCAAGACTTACTCCTTTTATTAAACAAGGGATGCGGTTCCAGAACCTGAGACCTGCTTCCTTTACAAAACACACTCTCATGTTCATTTTTCATATATAGATAACTTGATATTTAACTGTCATAAGAACTCCTCTAAGAAAAATTCCGTGTTTCACCCAAACATTTTTAAAATAAACTTTAAATACATACAGTTTCCAAATTAAGCGATATTCTTTTTTCTAACATCCATTTGACAAAGTCTAACTGTAATCAGAATGAAAAAAGTACACACACATCTTAACACAAACTTACTTCGTAGCACTTTCAGAGACTAGGGCAAAGAATAAAGAATCCTTCTTAGATAACTAGGTGGGAAGAAAAAAAAAGCAATGCATTTATACAGCTGCGCTTCCCTTAATTCTACCTCAAATATTTACACCACCATGGCTAAGTTGAAGTATAAAATGGAAAAGTGAGTCAAAAAGTAATAAACAGTCAAATAATTAAACAGTAGCAGTCTAAGGAATAAAAATTTACTGTAAAGCAAAAAATAAATATTTCTTCAACTTGAGGTTCGCCAGCATCTTAATTTGGAGCTCATGTCCCCAAAGCATTTTCTTTTTTTCTTTCATTCTCAGCAGCCCCCCCTTTCCACTGCCACTGCACCATTAACATATCCCTCCCCCACAAATTGTGCCCTGTACACTCAAAACCACACTTCTCCCTTCAACAAAAATGGACAGCATTCACTGCAACTGTGTCTACCCTGTACACACACAACGGCTCCATCAGCAGGGCCAGGCACCAGTGGGTAATCCTGGCACCAACTTGTTTTGTGGCTTTTAGCTGTTTAATAAAGAAGTGAGCAGTGATCAGCCTAAAAGCAGGTATTCAAAACAGAGACAGTCTCCCTATTAGTTACAGTCGGAAAGCTGTCTGTAGAATCCTTAGCAGAAAACGAACATGTCCTACTTCATACTCATTGAACGGGATTCCCCCCTTCCCAATTTATGAAACATGCAGGTATTCAATACATCCCTTGGAAACTTTGTTTTTGTAAGGTGATAAAGCAAACTATAAATTTGCAACAGCAGCAGCTGTGCCTGAAGATCTCACCTGTTTCAGCTATAACTTGGCCCTTTCTAAAGTGTCCTTCAAGCTTACAAAGAACTTAAAACACTTGGTTGGTAACAACAGTATAACTGGACCATTATACATGTATTACAATGATAATTTCTGTTACTGTTCAAACTGGACCCCTTGAAGGGCTGGCTTACTTTTGCTAGAAAGTTAGTACAAGACTTAACAAAGGATCATTACATGAAACAGCACACCGACTGCATTCAGGATAATATTAGATGACTGCCAAAGAGAAGAATATGGAAATAAAATCACCAAAAATATTTACACTTGGGCTTCTCTTTGGCTTGGTAAGCAGCTTCTTGAAAACACAGGATCACAAGGAATAGTTTTCTTAGTCCAACTTGTCTCTTACCCAATAACTGACTAAACAGATTGAGTTTTGAAATAACAATGATGCCTCTAACACAGTGGGAACAGAAGAGACATCTGTGTGTCTCGTATTGGTACTGAAACCACTACGGTGAATCTTATTTCCAGTATCTCTCAAACTTAATTATCTTTCAGATTTTTGCTCTTCTTTCTCCAGCGTAATTGTACCATCTGTACACAATGACCCGTTTTGATCAAAATGCAAAACGTGGGCACTTAGCCCACAAATTATTTCCTCAGTTCACCATTTTAAAAAAAGAAATATTTTTTTGAAAACAGTATTCATTCTGCAGTTGGTAAAAAGTTCAGCCTTAGCTAAGTCACAGATGTCAGTAGTCTGCATTGCATCCATTTCACAAGAGCTATCACTAAACCAGAAGTTTTCTCATACTTTGAAAAAAGCAATTGGCAGCGTATCCATGTCCCATGTGAGAGGTACATACCCACTATCATAATGAAAACCTTACTAACATAGTTCTGCATTCTCATCAGTGCTGGTATCAAGAGCTTGGCCATACTGCATCACTTGGGCAGTCTTCACATTAACACTGAAATCCAGATGAAGACTTTATATTTTGCTCTTATGGTAGGGCTAAAACCAGGAAGAATAAGGAAATGACCAATAAAATGAAAACAAGTGTAAGGGTCAAAGGTACTTTTCCTCCAAGGTACTTAAGTTTTTGGCAAATTTACTTATTTCTACAACCTTCAGCAAGGATTAGTAGAAAAAGACAGCATTCAAAGCAAGCAAGCCCTACTGGAAAAGCAGATAAACTTGCCTGAGGAAATGAACATTAAGAAAGAAGTACAGCTGTGTACAGAAACACTGAAAACCAAATTAGATTAATTATAACCTTGCCAAAGGGCTGAACACCGACTACCGGCAATTTTGCCTAATTGTTCAGAATTCTATCTAAAAGACATCTCAGATCCACTTACAGTAAATGAAACGTGATATGAAGAACTAGATACTTTAAAAGGGAGTAGGCTAAAAGTAAAGGTGTTTTCTTTTGGGAAACTGAGAAAACAGCAAAATTAAATGAGATAGTATAAATCAAAAATAGAACCACAGGTTTGTAATTGTTATGTGAAATGCTTAATGAAAAGATTCTTGTTTGCGACTAGAACTCTACCCAGTTTGAGATATAATATGAAAACAGTAAAAACATTGGATTTTAATAAAGATTTTTATTTGACCAAGATTTACTAAGAAGGCAACATTTAGAATACCCATGAAAGTATAAGGTTTCTGCACAGGAGAGATGATTTAGTGGAGCAAAAGGATTATGAAATTAGATACAAGGCAAAGCACCTTTGTATGTTTTGCTGTCCAAGTGAGTCAGTGACAGCAACTCCACACAGACTAAGTGATTTACTCTGCTGCTTAACAGCATCCACCACTGGCTAAATAGCTGAGCCATTCAAAGGAACCTGCAGGTCTTCTGGCCTGAATGCATAATTCCACTTGGATTCACACCGCTAGCCCCAAATTCCCTAAGTACTTAGATTTCCTTTATATAGAGGAATAATAAGATAAAACTGAAAGAACAGCCAGCCCCAAAAACATGTTCCCATGAAAAGTAGGTGACTCATTGCCCAGCTGTTCCTGACAGTGGAGCAAGGAGAGGCCTGAACTACATGACTTGAACCTCAGTCAGGAATAAATCCCATTAACTACCCAAGAAGAATTTAATGTGTAAGTACCACTTCATAAACCAGATGCTTTAAATTTTCAGTGTGCTCATTAAAATCAATTTAGCCATTAATAATTAACTGAAATAGTTATTAACAATTAAAAATTAGAACAAACTTAATGGGAATATTTTGTGATACATACTACCATGTTTCAATAAGCTCCCCAGGACAACTCATCATGAATCTCATCATTGGAATTATAAATGCAGCACGAGCAATAGCTTGTTAGCAATCTTTCTAGTAACATACTTGAATCACTTAGAGGGACCATCTGTCATCTTAACCTCTACAAGTAGGTAAAAAAACCAACCAAACAAAAAACCCCACCCAATGTTTTAAGTATTTTTACTCATTTCTTCTTGGTTCTTCAGGATGTCCAACTCATTATTCTGTACCATTGCACCCAAAAGAAGAAAACACTCACTCGATGCAAGAATTAACAGCTGAAAATTAAAACACCTTCAGAAAAAACAAGTATCGATCAAGTATATTCTTGCAACTAAAATATGCATGTCAGAAATAAGCTGCATTATACAGATTTAAGAATCTTTGGTCTACGTTATATATGAGTGTGAAAAACACCTGGACAGCATAGCCCAAAAAGATCACTTGTAATTAAACAAAATATAGACAATTACGAACTATAGTGCAGGATTAATTTTTGAAACTCATGGACAATGGAAGTTAGGCAGAAAACAGAGAGAATAGGAGAAGCAGAGGAAAGGTTGCCAAGATTTGCACACAAAGTAACAAAAATTACTTGAATTGCTTACCGCATATTCTTCTGGTGTAACCTTTAACACATCAAATACCACTGCATCAAAGCTCTTCTTCAGTTCAGCTGAACCTTTGTCACTCAAGGATTCAGAGCTGCTACTCTTCTGCAGAAACAAACAAACCCACGAATGATATTTTGGTTCTCTCGTCTTTTTTGTTTTTACACTCCCAAAAGTAAAATTTCTGTTCAAACATCACTGTTCACTGAATTAATATCAATTAAAAGTCATTCACAGGACATACTTTCTCCTGACAAAAACCTCTAAAATCAGAGACTCTCAAACTGACTTCAATGGATTTCAAAGGTATTCCTCAAAACACAATAGTTACATTCCAACACATAATTAAATTCCAATTTTGTTGACAGGAAAGTTAATAATAAAAAGAATAAGAATTCAGTCACATTGAATTTCAAACAGAAAAAAATACCACTACGGGAAGGAAAAAGACACAGTCTGCCCCAAAGGAATAGTTAACATCAAAGCACAGTATCAGTCTCCTCCTGTTTCTCTTAGAATCATTACAACTTAACAAGAATTACAATGTGAGCTACATATGTGTTCCGGTTGAAGACACTTAGTATAAACAATTCTAGTTTGTTTTTTCTAAATGCACCTTTGCAAAAAATAACAGATCCTAGAATGTTATTCTACAAGTCTTTATTTACAACATAAAGATTTAGCTTCCCTGCAAAATACAAACATAGGTCAAAAAATTAACACTTTGTATGAAGTTAACGCTTCATATTGGTTTCATATGTTTCATATGAAAACAATACATCTATGTTATGAGTACTTCCTCTAGTATATAGGTGCAAACCTAGGTTCTATGCAGTCATTACAAGAAAGAAGGGGTTTTTTGCATGGAAGTTGAGATGTTGCATCCAGATGTATGCTTCACATCTGAAGCCCAGGCGTACTTATTTCAGAAATATGCACGCAGCATGCAATCACTTTGCTGCCCTACACACTCCTCCCAAAACCAGAAAGGCTATGCATGCTTCTTGCTTCTTAGTTTCTTCTCATTTTCAGAAACCTGGTGTAAAGGAAACTCTTGACTAAAAAGGAAGAAATAAGACATGTGGACAAAACCATCATGAAGGACCACAGTTACTACAGTCAATAACTTATCAGGTTTAACTCCTCCTCTTCAGCAAACAGGATGCTTGCCTGAAGTACAGTATGGTACCTGCACGCTTCAGCAATAGCATAGCCTTGATGTCAGTGCTAACCAGAGCTCCTACAACAGTTTTGCCAATACTTTCTTTGGAGAGATTGAAGAGAAAGAAAACCAGTATTGGTGCACAGAGCTTATTCTCACCATTGCTGGGAGCTCCAGCTCAGCTGTGGCAAAACACACTGAGCACAAACCAAAACCTGCCTTGTCTTATGCTGGAGATTGATGTATCTGTAAGCACTCCATCCTAACCACCATCATGGGGGATGCCTCCTAGAAAGCTGAAAAGATTAGACTTTGCCCGTATAATGAAGGCACTTTCTGACAGTCTGTGTAATTTTACTGCTAATGTTGAAAGTTTTCAAGACCATGGATATGGGTTGTATACACAACATAAACATGAATGAGCACTTCAGATCACTTCTGATGGAAGCCAAACTTCAGTACTGTTACACTGTACTTCAGTAACACCTGCATCATGTCTGCTGATGCCAAGGCAGGAGGGAAGATAGCATGCAGTCACTGATGCTGGTAAATAGTTCTACTGCGCTACTGTCTTCTCCCAAAAACCTAACAAGGCAGTATTTTAGGGTTACACTATATATTTTGACTTTGTCTTTTCACTCACAGAAACAAGAACATTTGAACTCCTTGAGAATTCAGCCAGCTGAAATAAACCATTGGCCATTTTTAAGTACTTTTGTTATAAGGACATATAAAGAAAGTACACATTCATTTAATAATCATGTCTGGTTTTAGTTGGGTTCTTCCAACAGTACAATCTTTCTAAATAAGATGACTTTGAAAACACAACCAAAAACTCCAAACCAGACAGGCATTTTCAGTAATCAACATACAGAAACATTTTGGTTACAAATCTTCCCTCTTCACGATTAGTCAAGCTCGGAAAAAAAAAAAAAATACCACTTGCTGAAAGCATATTCATGTAACTTTGCCAAAATATATTTTAGTCAATTTTATCAGACATCATGTAAACATTCAAAACTATATTCTTGAGTAAAAAGAGACCTTTCCTCCAAGAAATTTTTTCAGTTGCTTGCCAACAAATGTTCAATCAATGATTCATAATACAATAAGAAAAGTACAAGAATCTGTATAAAAACAATGGTCTTAGAGATCGATGCCAGCTTTCTTCTTTAAATCTTGACAATACTCATGCATTGTGCTGGAGATTATTTGATTCCTTTTGATAAAACACTCCAATTCTCCTTTCACCTTGTTTGTGATCCTTTTCATTTGCATATGCACATGCAAGTACATAGCATACATGCAGCTCTGCTATCAAAACACATGTGTAAATACATAAAACAAACATCTTTGGTAAGGTCCAAAGATTCATTCAAGGAAGCAACTGTTTTTAGGACTTTGTGACTCTCATCACGTCTAACTTTCTAATGTTTTTGAATACCTTGTCTTTTCAACAAAATGATGAATAATGAAAGAAAGAAAGAAGATAAACTGAAATCCACTATGGTAAAAACATGTTTCACACTGACAAAAGCAATAAAAATTATATGCACCAGCAACAAAGTAAGTGTTTCCCCTGAGCAGAAAGCTTAAGTTAGTATTGTACATCTGTACAAGCAAAAGCATATACTGTCACCTAAAGAAGACAGACAAACAATGCAACTGGAAAGATCCCTCAATATAGACCGAAGGTAGAATTTCACTTCCCTTCATCCCAGTACTACACGGCATTAACAAAAAACCCAAAAACTTTAAGAGGGAGTGAATTGCAAGAGTTTTAGGAAAAAAAAAAACACCCCACACCACACAACCAAACCAAAACAAACAACAAAACCCAACCAACCAGATCTTGCAAACCCTCCAACACTGCTAAGAATTTAGGAATCAGTCACAACTCTCAACAGCTCCTCACGTGATCATAGCAAAAGAACTCAAAAAGTTCTGGTACTAACTTGACCCCACCCCTTCTTTTCTTTAAGTAGTAGGTGACAAATGGAAAAATACATTAACTTCAAAATAAGAGGCATCAGCATAGGAGGCCAATTTCCATTGCTTGGCTGATACACATGCTCTTAACTCATGAGCTGTTCACTTCTAGAGGGCAGAAAGGGACACATACCAATGGCTGAATATAGTCCAAGAGACAAAGGGAACAACCTTATTCCAGTGCTACTGTGTCAGACTGCCCCTTGACACACACACACACAAATACCTGTCCAAGAAAAGAACATTTCCCACAGGCCTTGCCAGCCCAGCTTATTACTCTAAGAGCATCTATTATTGTTAAAACTTGAAAAGAAAAGCTTCTTTGTCTAGATGTGACGGAAGAAAAGATAAAAAAGGCAGTTTTGGCTATAGCAAGGCTGTAAACGCTAGCTCATGCTTTATTTTGGTATACAAAGGTCAGAACTTGAAGTTATTCACATCTAAACTGGGGGATACGAAACCAACACTTAAAACAAGAATCTGCTGCACTAGATCTGTTAAAAGAAAAACTTACATTTTGGTGCAATTTTAAAAAATAGAGTACTTATAGTCTTAAGTATCCAATAACTGGTTTTTGTAATCCTTACCTCTGAAGCAGTAGCCGCAATATTAACACTGCTTGACTGTCCGTTCATTAGGTCCATACTGCCCACACCATTAATCTTCAGCCCTACATTTACAACAGCAGGATCATGTCCAGGGCAACCGAATAACCATTCCTGCAAAGCAAAAAGTAATCAGAAACCATTTTATTCACATGGTTTAAAAAAGATTTGGTATCTAAAATCCAGAACAAAAATAAAGTACTTCCAAAATGGCTATACCACTTTGACATCCAAACTTTACATTCCAACACATATTCTAAACCTACTTGAAATAGACACAAACAACTGAAGGTTCCATCACGATCCATTACTTACTGGCAGTATAAACTTTCATATTCTTTTCCATACCATTTTTTATATACTGGGTATCAATATGTAAATGTATGCATTAACCCTAACTTAAAGTTAGGCCTGCAACATCAGTTCACGTACGATTCTTTTCCTTTGATTACCCACTTTTAAAAGTATATTCCAGATGTTAACTCTATTAGATAACTTTTGCAAGATGTTATCCAATAGTTTGTCTTACATGTATATTCACCAGATTCAAGTGAAAATTACCACAAGAAAAGCAATTTAAGAGTACAAGTGAAATTAACACTTTCCTCCACAAATCACCTGAATTATTGTTTGGTAAAAAAACCCCAAACAAACAAGAAACAAAAACAAAAAAAAAACCACCAACCCAAAGGAAAACTCCACACAGCAACTTTCAATGCATCCTTGCAAGAATATTATTACTTTTCATTTCTACAGAGAAAAGGATGCAAAGAAACTGAAACCTTTGGCATCCACTACAAGAACAGTAAGACTACCCAAAACCTAAGTGTTACAGAGAGTAAAAAATTGGTTTAGGCTTAAATTTCATGAGATGCTAGTGCCCTCTAGTGTGAAAATGATTATAAATCAGTTTTCATAGGTCTATGTTTATAACAAGTGTGACTTTCTGAAGTTGCTATTATTTATGAAATTCAGTTTAGGTTTGTAGTGTAACTCAGAACTATAACATGGTCTGCAAATAAATGGAGAAAAGTGACAGGTAACTAATACATGACAAAATAGTATTACAGCATCTCATACTTAATATCTCTATGTAATGAAATAAATAAAATAAAGTAATTAAAAAAGCTCTATCTCCAGGTGACCTAAACCAGGTATGTCAGATAAACAATCCTGGAAGGCAAGAAACTGCAATATTTAAATAATAAAATAACCTCAAAAAAAGCAGTAACTTTAAAATGTCATTATAGGAATGGAATACAGAAAGGAGGGCAACTGAAAGAACGCCACATTGCGATTTTCAGTCAAACACTATAGCTTCTAGGTATCTGGGGGTATTAATGGCCCCCATCTGAACTACCTTGAGCTGTACTTCCGCAGTTCAGAACAGCCATCTGCACTCTATCCTTTCTTGTTTTGGTTTTTTCTTTTTTTTTTTAAAAACTGATGGGACTGTCTCATTCACAGGACAGAAGACACTACATTTCACTTTAACATCATACTCCCAGCCCACATGATAAAATTAAGACTGTGTTTCCTCCACTAAAATATACTTAACTGCATTTAGATTTTAACTGGTATTATACTAACAGACCATACGAAGGGAAAAAAATACCTCATCTTTGGCTTGCAAGTGTTACTGCTGCCCTCTCCTTTCCTACCTCAATTACCCTTCAGATTGTCTCATGTGGAATATTTCCAAATGCTCGGCTCCCCAATGTCTCTTTCCTATAGTCTTGTCATTTACTGAACTGGAAAGCAAGGAAATAAAACTCTAACTGATGTGTCATAATTTTCATTTGTGTAGTGACAGTACAGGACAGCAGTATCACATCTCCAAAACCAGCTTCACGTAAATGTTATAACATCTGCCAGTCAGGCTGCATCATAACAAAGCTGTCCACATAATGTTAATTTTATGCCCATTATTGCATTACAATATTATGTCTGAATACATTTATACTTTTTCCCACTTTGTGGGGATACAGCAAAGGTCAGAATTAGTACTGACTGTTATAAACTAGGATTTATCAATTTTAAAGTTCCAGAATTTGCAACATTTAAAATGCATTTCTGAAAGCTGCATTAGACATGAGAACATCACCACCCCCCACAACAATGAAAAGTCACAGCAACAATTTTGGCCAGTGTATCATTTAAGACAAATATTGAAAAAATCCTAACACTGGAATAATTAAATAATTTGCTTGCCTCACTACCTTTCAGTTCAACACCAAAATAAGTGCTAAACACCAGTATCAGAAAGTAATCAAGAGCAGAACTGTTCAGAGCGGCATAGCTAGATACGTGAAATAACTTGTCACCACACTGCAACAGTGAGTCACACATCAGTTTTCACTGTGAACCCTGTATATCTAATTACAAAAACTGAATTACATTGAGAAATTTGAAATTCCAGTTTCTTTCTCCTCTTCTGTTTAATAAATGCCTTTGTGCTCAGAAATGCATTAAATGTGGGATTGGAAGTGTTTTATATGACACATAAAATACCTAAGCATGCATTTATGCCAACCTGAAGCTTGGACACACTATGCCACACATACTGTACAGTAAAAAGCAAACTAAAAATACCGATAAAAAGATTCATCATACCCAAAGAATGAAAGTGTCTAGACTAAGCAGGGTCTGCTGTCTTCAATGGGTCTGAGTTTTTCTGTGAATTCACCCAAGGCTGTGTTTGATGATCATTCCATTACAGTGACTGACCTATAAACCCCCAAAATGGAACGCAGCTGGGTGAAGATGAGCAAGGGAAACGTGCCCATGAAGCTCAGAATAATGCAGGGTGTGACTGACCACAGCTGTTGCAAAGAAGCTGACTTTATCTCAACACAAAGAGGACCAGACAGTGGCCTTTGTTTTAGATAAACAGCTATGTCAGTTGAGCAAATCATCTGACTATGTTACAGTTGAGTGAATCAACTGGTGGCGTAAATGTTTCTCCCTGAGTTCATTAAAAAAAGTAAATTCCTTCCTGAGTTAGCGAGACCAGCATGAGGGGGAGTAAGTACATGGCTCAGTCCAACACAGAGTACAAAAACTAAACAACTAACAGGAATTTCAAAGAGAGCAACAAACTTGAGCTGGCTTCAACCCACATATTTCTTCCTGGCGACTGGGGACACCTAACATTGTGATGGTGAGCATATTCTAGAGACCAGTAACGGAAACCACAATAGTATTGTGTTTTAACTTTGTATTGTAATTGCTATATTTTGCTAAGTGTAACTTTTCAGTATATTTTGTATCACTCTGCCTAATCAGAAACTATCTTCAGATATGTAAATTTAATATTAAACATTACACCCTCCATCTGTGGAACATCTGAAAGAACCTGGTCAAAGAGTATTTGGCTCACCTAAGCCTGAATCCCTTCCACAGAAATATCCAGGGATATTCTTGTCTCAGCTTGGGTCAAACACTGTCCCAAAAATATACTGTAAAAACAGCATTTTAAAAGACAATCCTAAAATTACACTCAAAACTTCCTGTCCAATACAAAAGCTTTGAGGAAACATAGCCACAGTACAATTTTATGAATGGCTCAAGAGTCATGATGACCAAGATACTCTTTGTTCATATTCATAATGTCAGTACAAAATGCCATTTGTTTTGATCACAGATCCCCATGAACAAAACAAAAGTGCCTTGCATTGATTAATCATCAACTATGAATGCAAAGCCCCTACACCAAAGAGTTTGGGAACCAAAGCACTGTAAGAACCAAAAGACCAGTTCCATACTCAATCAACCTGAGCTCCTGATCTTGCAGAAACTCTCAGTGGTATTTTGACAAACAGTATAGAAAAAGCTATTTCTTTCTAAACAAGGAATAGAAGTGTATCAGGCTCCACTGAACTCTCACTGCCCCATGCATACTGCAGCCTAGCTAGATTCAACTACTCCACACAATGACCTCGAGATACTTCAGTGAAATCTTGGAGCCACTGATTGGATTCCAATTCTGGATCTGAGCCCTTTGATTCTTAGTTAGAAGTGCATTTTTTCCAGCACTGCTTGGCACATTCTAAATTAACATTACTTCTAACCACTGAACACAATGTAGAAGGTTCAGTGAAACAGAAATACAGGTTTTTCAAGCAACTGTCAACATCTGCCTAATATGCACCGAGTCGGATCCTTCTGTCTGGAAGTACTTTGTGAAACCACTTCAGTATCTCAGATGCCTCACTGCCCTTTTCATCAGAACTTGTTAAATACAAATTTATTTATAATTAATTTATAGTTCCCTACCATACAGGGCTACAAGAAAGAGCCTCTATTACAATTATTCATCTTGCACACTGCAATTCCTACTTTACATGAAGAACACCCAGAAATGCTTATGGTTTTGGGCGTTGGGTTCCTTTGCACTTCCCCCCCTTCAATGGTATTGAGGTAAAATCTCTCTGCTAAAAATTCACAACAATACGGCCAAAATAAATCCAACAATATTAAAAATATGGCAGTGTTAAGATGCTGCCACTTTAATGCATTCTCCATGTACTGCTTCCTTAATCTTTATAATGCACGCACTTATGAAATATTTTTTAGTCTGATTCTTGTTTTTTTTGATGCACAGAATATAGATTATACACTCCGCAAGTTCACTATATAGATGTTGTGAGATTAACTTCAGTCAGGTGTTGAGCAAGTAAGGGTACAGGAAATTCTGCTGACGCAACTCCCAGCATGGACGCCTCATACACTGACCACACCTCTCACTGGTCTGTATCAAGTTGGCAGGTGGAAGTTCTGGACGTTACGGTGTACGGCAGTGCTGCATGCCCCTAGCTGCATACAACCTGCCACACACAAAAGTTAACTGTTTGGAAGTGGTTCAAGGTGCCCCAGGGGCACGCAGGCACCAAGAAAGGTTAAGTAAGGGAGACAAAGTGCGCTGGCACACAGGCACTACATCCACCACTGTACAAAAGAATTCATGCCACCTGCCATCATAGCAAGGGCTGATCACACTCACAGTTCTCCCCTGCAGTTTGGTGCACATACACCTCAAT